CGCTGTCATCAACCAGGAAGCTGGGAAGATGGTTGAGGTTTGTGGTACTCTCGTCCGTGACGGAAAGCCTGTCATGGAGGTCACCTCCCAATTCTTGTACCGTGGTACTTACACCGACTACGAGAACACCTTCCAACGAAAGGTTGAGACCCCTATCCAGCTTCATCTGGCCACTACTCGGGATGTTGCTATCCTTCGATCCAAGCAGTGGTTCTCCGTCGACGAGCTTCCTCAGAACATCGACTTGCTTGGCCAGACTCTGACTTTCCGTCTCCAAAGCTTGGTTCGCTACAAGAACAAGGCTGTCTTCAGCAGCATCGAGACACGCGGCCAGGTTCTGCTTGAGCTCCCCACCAAGGAGATCATCCAGGTCGGCAGCGTCGACTATGAGACCGGGGAGTCTCATGGTAACCCCGTTGTTGATTACCTTGAGCGCAACGGCCAACCTATCGACCAGCCCATCAACTTTGAGAACTCCATCCCCCTTAGCGGCAAGTCTCCTCTCGCTCTCCGAGCCCCTGCTTCCAACGAGAATTACGCTCGTGTGTCCGGTGACTACAACCCCATCCACGTCTCTCGTGTATTCTCCAGCTATGCCAACCTCCCTGGTACCATCACCCATGGCATGTACTCTAGCGCATCCGTGCGAAGCCTGATCGAGACCTGGGCCGCCGAGAACAATATTGGCCGTGTCCGAAGCTTCCACGCCTCACTTGTTGGCATGGTTCTGCCCAACGATGAGCTCGAGGTCAAGCTTCAACACACTGGCATGGTCTCTGGCCGCAAGATCATCAAGGTTGAGGTCCGCAACAAGGAGACCGAAGACAAGGTTCTTGAGGGCGAGGCCGAGGTTGAACAGCCTGTGACTGCCTATGTCTTCACTGGACAGGGTTCTCAGGAACAGGGTATGGGTATGGAGTTGTACGCCAGCAGTCCCGTTGCCAAGGAGGTCTGGGATCGTGCCGACAAGTACCTCCTCGACGCCTATGGTAAGTTACATGAATCGGTACTATCAATGTGCATCTGCTAATATGTCTCAGGTTTCTCCATCACCAACATTGTCAAGAACAACCCTAAGGAGCTCACTATTCACTTCGGTGGTCCCCGTGGTAAGGCTATCCGCCAGAACTACATTGCGATGACTTTCGAGACCGTGGCTGCGGATGGTAGCATCAAGTCCGAGAAGATTTTCAAGGAGATTGATGAGACCACTACCTCATACACCTACCGCTCTCCTACTGGTCTTCTCTCGGCCACCCAGTTCACTCAGCCTGCCCTTACCTTGATGGAGAAGGCCAGCTTTGAGGACATGAAGGCCAAGGGACTTGTGCCAAACAACAGCACCTTCGCTGGTCACTCTCTCGGCGAATACTCGGCCCTTGCTGCCCTTGCTGAGGTCATGCCAATTGAGAGTTTGGTGTCCGTTGTGTTCTACCGTGGTCTCACCATGCAGGTTGCCGTCGAGCGTGATGCTGCTGGTCGATCTAACTACTCCATGTGCGCTGTTAACCCTAGCCGCATCAGCAAGACCTTCAACGAAGCCGCTCTCCAGTTCGTTGTTGACAACATTGCTGAGGAGACTGGCTGGCTCCTTGAGATTGTCAACTACAACATTGCCAACATGCAGTATGTTTGCGCTGGTGATCTCCGTGCACTCGACACTCTTGCTGGTGTGACCAACTTTATCAAGATCCAGAAGATTGATATTGAAGAGGTCAAGGACAACATCGAGGAGGTTAAGGGACACCTCCGCGAGATCATCCGCGGCTGTGCCGAGAAGACTCTTGCCAAGCCCACACCTCTTGAGCTGGAGCGTGGCTTCGCTACCATTCCTCTCCGTGGTATTGATGTGCCCTTCCACTCGACCTTCCTTCGATCTGGTGTCAAGCCTTTCCGATCTTTCTTGCTCAAGAAGATCAACAAGACATCCATCGACCCCTCCAAGTTGGTTGGAAAGTATATTCCCAACGTGACGGCCAAGCCGTTCGCGCTGACCAAGGAGTACTTCGAGGATGTGTACAAGCTGACCAACTCGCCAAAGATTGGTGCTGTGCTGGCCAACTGGGAGAAGTATAACCAGGATGAGACCGCTACCAACGGTGTTGAGGGCAGCGACAGCTCCAGTGGCGAGTATGAAGGCTCTGGCCGTGCTGCTTAAGCGAGTTAGAAAACAAAAGAGAAAGGGAAATATAATAAAAAAAGAAGAAAAGGGACCATGCAGAGACATGATGTAACGGAAGATTAGAGATGGATGGATGATCACGAAGAGAGTTTACAGATTCCCGGCCGGATTGTTATCCTGGCATGAGTATATTACGATGTATCTTGTTATCCTTAGCTAGAGGGGCGTTTGTTTTTGCTACAAGTTTAGAGAATTTTGAATGTTTGATGATGACATTTGGTTCATAAATCGAATAATGTATCTCATCCTGTGAAAGCTTAGGGTGCACACGCAGTCTTGTGATGTTGGTTCGCTCCCGGTGTTGTCGTACAAGTGAAGCTCGTGTAGGAAATAATTGACGAGATAACGAAATACCTGGCATTGATTGGTGTGCCTCGGCTCGGCGATTGTACCACCCTACCTACCTTTGGACCCCACTGGTTCCGAGCGGTAGCGGTCGGCTGCCGGCGACGGCCGGAGACGGACAAATGGTGGAGATGGCCTATCAGGGGAATCAAGTCCGCTTTGGTCGCTAACAATATCGCAAACATAGATAAGTTTACGTGTTCATGAATGCGTATATAATGTCCAAAGGGGAAGGGCTTTAGATTTGTTCTTCTTGTTCTTGGGGTTTCTCTTTTCTTTCGGCTCTGTTCGCTATTACATCATCCCCACTTGGCATCTTACCTCGTATTGTTCAACAACACAGCGAACACTTGAGAGATTGAGATATAGAGGAATGAATCTACAATGGCGGGCTTAAAGAAGCAAGTCTTTGTGGGGACGTTTATATCCAGCAAAAGCCCCAAAGAGCTTGACTATCAGCATGATACGATCGTATGTGTTGATGGAGAGGGTAGAATTGTCAAGGTCGATACAGAGGGCGGCAGTACTGAGCAGATTGGAAAGAGGCTACGTGAAACTCTGAACTGGGAGCTCAGTGATGTAGATGTTCATATTGCGAAGCCCGGGCAGTTCTTCTTCCCTGGTTTTGTTGGTGAGTGATACGATACAGCCCTCGCTTTCCAAGAAAGACGCTGACAGAAACAACAGACTCGCATGTGCATGCATCTCAGTACCCAAATGTGGGAATCTTTGGGAAAACCACTCTCCTAGACTGGCTGGAGAAATACACATTCCCTCTAGAGTCAAGTCTAAAGGACTTGAGCAAGGCAAGGCGAGTATATGGCTCATGTGTTCGACGGACATTATCCCATGGAACGACAACAGCGGCTTACTACGCTACCATCGACGTAGCAGCAACGAACCTTCTCGCTGATCTCTGCTTAGAGATAGGACAACGAGCTCTTGTTGGGCGCGTGTGTATGGACAACCCTGACATGTGTCCAAGCTACTATCGCGATGAGAGTGTCGAACAAGGTCTTGAAAAAACGAGACAGACGATTCGACATGTTCAAAAAATCGACCCAGAGTTTAAACTTGTATCACCGGTGCTGACACCCCGATTTGCACCAACTTGCTCCAGCGATTCGATGAAGGGACTGGCCAAGATCCAAAAGGAACTGGATCTTCCTGTCCAGACACACGTTTCTGAGAACGAAGGAGAAGTCGAACTTGTCGCAAAGCTGTTTCCGGAGTCGGAGTCGTATACGCAATTGTACGATGATTGCGGTCTTCTTACTACCCGGACGATTCTTGCGCACGCGATTCACTTGACCGAAGCGGAGGCAAAGCTGATTGCACAGCGGGGAAGTAAAATCTCGCATTGTCCCTGCAGCAACAGTTCACTCACGAGCGGTTCTGCACGCGTGCGATGGCTCTGGGACAAGGGGATTACAGTTGGCCTGGGCACAGACATGAGCGGCGGCTACAGCCCTTCCATTCTCGAAGCAGCACGTCAAGCAGCCCTTGTGAGTCGACACGTCGCGATGGGAATGGACGAGGAAAAGGAACGGAGCAAGTTGACGGTCGAAGAGGTGCTGTATCTTGCCACTCGCGGCGGTGCAGAGGTTGTTGGACTGGCTGATAGAATCGGCGGGTTCGAGGAGGGAATGGAGTGGGACGCTCAGTTGATAGGTCTAGGAAGTGTCGATGAGAACGGCCTGGCGGAGGATGACGGGAATGTGAATGTTTTCGGGTGGGAAACTTGGGAGGAGAAGATTGCGAAGTGGCTGTTTAATGGAGATGACAGGAATGTCAAGAGGGTTTGGGTCAGAGGGAGAACAGTTCATGCGAGATAAGCCGAGACAAACTGTCTATGTTGTTTCAGACACTATAGCGAATACTGAATGACACCAATGCTATTTGTCGGTACAGCAGAAGAGAAGCACGCACGATCTCTGTCTGCCCTCGTGATCACCAGCGTCGATGTTTCACTAGATTTCATGCTCATTCAGCCCTAATATGCCATGAGTTACTACTAAACGAAGCGTGCTACGAACCCATGATAGGATTGTTACCGTGCGCTTTTTCTCTGTCACTTAATCACTCTATCACTGACGATTCATGTCACTACTGACTTAGCTGTATAATAGCTTTAACTGGCTGTGTGTCTGAATATAACTCCTGCCTACCAATCCGAGGCATGACACTTTTTGTGAAGAAAACACAACAGATCCGATTACCATGTGAGGCCTTGGCGTCACTGATATATCCTCCATACTCGTACAAAAATTACCAACCATCATCCTCCGATATGGTTCATAGCCCTCATATAATAGCCGAAACTCCATCTCCAATGATAGACACTCGTAACCGGGAGACCTCGATGTGACTGCATTTCATTCCGAGACTGTATCACTCCCTAATCGCGCGGCTTCTCACTTCAGCCCTGGCCAGGTCTTCCCAACGGGTTGACAGGTTTTCAAAATTGATTCCTTTAATCATCGGAAGGGAGATCCTCATAATGTGCGGTGAAGAGACTCTGGTTGCCCTCGGCTGTGAAAGAGTTCTCGAAGGTCAGGTATTTGTCGTTTACGAAGTCGCGAGCCCGAGGAGTGATGATCTGTTGGCTGGCACTAGGAGGCCGTCCGCCAAAGGCGTAAGGGTCTGCGTGATCGATGTGGTCAAGTCTAGCGCGTGCAAGCACGGCTGGGTTGAAGGCGTTGTGTGGGGTTGGGTTTGCAACTCTAGGGAGATCGGCTGCGGTGAACTCACGTCTAACGGTCTCGGGCTTCTTGACGTTACGGCCATTGCTCTTGCTGGCCCGGCTAGGCTTAGTGGCCTTGGTGACTCTATTGGGCTTCTGTCTGATCGTGGCGTTGTCATTGCCCTGAGGATTAGTGCTGCTGGAGGCATTGTCCTGGATCAAATTGTTGTAGGGGGCGGCATCGTAAATACCGTTGTTAGTAGGGAGACTGCCCTGGGGTCCGTAGTTGACAGGGGCATTGTCTTGAAAGTTGATGTCAAAAGAAGCATTGTTCTGACTACCGCTGTCGATAGAGGCATTGCTCAAAAAGCTGGTGTCAAAATTGACATCACCCTGAACACTGTAGTCGAGGGAGGTACTGCACTGAGTACTGTTGCCGAGAGAGGCATTGCCGTAAAGGCTGGTGTCAAGAGGGGTGTTGTCAATCATGGGATAGTCGAGAGAGGTACTGCCCTGAGTGCAGTCGTCGAGAGCGGTGATTCTTTGAAAACCATTGGCGTTGATGTTAATGCCCTGCATATCATCGGTATCAAAGAGAATGTCCTGGGGATTGCTCTGAATAAACCCATTATCCTGAGGCTCCAAGCTGAGGAAGTCATTGCTTTGAGGGTCAAAGTTGCTCAAGGCATCGCCCTGGAATTCGTCACCCATCACAGTCCCGCCAGGAACCCAGTTCTGCATGCCGTTGTTGAGCATGCCGTTGCTCAGCATGTTGTTTTCCTGCATGCCATAGTTGTTGAGAGGAGCCCCTTGAAAGTCAATAGACATATTAGGGGCGTTGTCGGTCTGAGCGTATGCCTGATAGGCCCAGTTGTTTGGAGGAAGTGAACTGTTGTTTATGGCGTGTCCACTAACCATGTTGTCAGTGTTCAGAGCGCCTTCATCCATTTTCAGAGCGTTTCCATCCATAGTATCGTTAAGATCCATAGAACTGTTGTTGTTGTTGATAGGAGTGCCAACATCCATAGTATTGTTGACATCAGTAGTGTTGACATGTTCGATTGTGCCTCCAGCATCGGCACTTTCACCGATATTGGCTGTAGGCTCAACTGGAACACCATTGATGTTGATGGGGCCACTTGTGTTGGCTTGGATACTGTCGTTTTGGTTGTAGTTGATCGAAGTAGGGGCTTCGGCCGTGTCACCAGTCGTCACACCGGCAGCGGTAGTGGTATCGACATGGATTACATCGTCAGGAAAGATCATGTCAATGAACTCCTTGAGATCCATCTCAGGGAGTTTTTGACCCTCAGACTGTGCTTCTTGTCTTTCACGATCTTTGGCCTCGATGGCAGCAATGATTGCTTGAACCTCTCTCTCCTTCTTCGCCGCGTCCTGTTTCGACAGTCGCTAGACACAACATGTTAGTAAGTTCCTGGGATACCAGAGTCGTAAGCACTGTATGTAACTCACTGCGTTTGTTGAATTTCGATTCGAATGTTCTAATCCTTTGTCTTTCTTAATGTGCATCGATTGAGCTAGTTCGGCTTGGCACACTTTTTCCTCCATATCTCTCAACATTGTGTTCTTGTTCTCCTCCGAGATGGCGTTCCATTCTCCAGCGTTGGCGCCAAGGGAGATAGCCTTGAGGCGCCACCAGTTCATTTGGGTTTGTAAGTTGGCAATGATACTCTTGTAGTTCTTCTCTTTCTCTTCTCGTCGCTCACGGGTTCCCTTTGCAGCTAAGTTGTTGCGGCTAAGATCGACCTTCTTCTGTTTGTTGAGGATAACATTGTTCCTCTTATTTAGGACTTCCTGCAGACGAGCGTCTTTGACTCCGGGCGGCATCAAGTAGGTACTACCAACAAATTCCTTGGGAGGCTGTTTAGCAAGCTCTGAGGCTTTGGGGATGGGAATGTTGTCAAGATGTGTCTGATTCTTGAGCTCGTCTTCAATCATCTCAAAGCGACCATCAACCTCGTCCTTGGGAAGAGCTGGATCGGGACCCAAGCCAACTTGGCTGAGCTTGACACCCCCGATGTGTATTGTGTGAGTACGAGGGTCCATAGAGCTAGCGTCATACTCCGCCAGAAGCTGGGGGTCAATCGGAAGGTCAATGGCTGTCTGTTGATTATCCGTGCCCATCTCAGAAGATGAGCCGCCGGACAGGTTCACAAGACCTAGAACGCTGGCAGATACTGGATCTGTCTCTTGTTCAGGCGCAGTTGAGTTGGCAGCACCCTGGCTTTCAGCAGCTTGTCGAGCAGCTTGGATTCTATTGTATTCGATGACAACCAGGTTAATAATTCCCTGGACAACAACCGGTTTAAGAGTGCCTTCTTTTCCGTATTGGTTTCTGTGGTATTGCTTGAACGCCTCAGAGAAACCATCGATCTCCCACCATGCACCAGGGATGGGATCAGTACGGGGTGCCTGGAACTGAAGTTGTTGAGCCGGCTGATGTGGCGGTAGATCGATCGTAGATGGAGGTGCTTGGGTTCCAGACTGAGTAGACTGAGATGCCTGTAGGTCAACCGTAGAAGAAGATGCTTCGATCTCAGGCTGACTAGGCTGATATGCCTGTGGGGCAACCGTAGGAGGAGATGCTTCGATCTCAGGTTGAGTAGGCTGAGATGCCTGTGCAACCGCAGAAGGGGGTGCTTGGATATGGGGTTGAGCAGGCTGAGAAACCTGCAGAGCGGGCTTCTTGGTAACAGGGCCCTCCTGGGAAGCTGAGGGAGAGACACTGTCGATAGTTCGCTTCCGAGACTTTCTCGGCTGCTTGGCCTTTTGAGAAGGGGGTGCTTCGGCTTGAGGTTGCTGAACCTGTTGAGATGCCTGTAGAGCGACTGTAGAAGGAAGGGCTTGGATCTCAGGTTGAGTAGGCTGAGATGCTTGCAGAGCGGGCTTCTTGGTAGCAGGGCCCTCCTGGGAAGCTGAGGGAGAGACACTGTCGATAGTTCGCTTCCGAGACTTTCTCGGCTGCTTGGCCTTCTGAGAAGGGGGTGCTTCGGCTTGAGGTTGCTGAACCTGTTGGGATCCCTGTGGAATAGACAACTGAGAGGTTGAGGCCTGTGCTTGAGCCTTCTTAGGCTGTCTTCTTCTGGGCTTCTTGGCAGGGGTGGCACCCGTCTGAGGTTGTTGAGACTGTTCAGTGACGGGGACAGTAGGTAGCGGGGGAGTAGTTGATGTCTGAGCTGTTTGGGTTCCAGCAGCCTGTGGGAGGCTGATACCAAAAGCTCGGATAGATGCAATAGCTTCTTCTGCAGACCCAGGTGACAGATGTACTTGAGACACAGGGCGTGCAGATTGAAGCGGCTTCAAGGGAGGTCCTTCAGACATGGTGTCTTCGGGACGCGAAACCGCGTGTGGGATTTAAATAGAATGTGTGATTATGTGAAGGTGATTCTGTGATCAGTGTATCGTGTAGTGATTAAGGGCAGATGTTATTTGCGGCAGTGAATAACTGCACAAATTGTGGAAGGGAGATATGGTAGTGCAGTGATTCTCTGATGTAGTTCAAAGAGATGAAATCGCAAAGCATAAGATGCTCGTGATTGGAAGAGAGATCAAGAGAAGATGATCCAAACTGTAGAAGTGTGTTGCGGTAGAAAAGAAGTTTGGGGTTCTGAGAGTGATGTTGTGATGGGAGATGAGAGAGGAGAGAGGAGAAAGGAAGAGATGGGGGGAACGAAGTGGGTGGAGCAACCAAGAAGGCAGAGCAGCAAACGCAGTGAAGCGGACCTCGAACTGCCAGTGCCAGCATAAATAGCGGGCTATGCAGTCGAGACAATCCAGTGAGTTCCCTACATGGCAATTTCGCAGTGGCATAGGGGCATTATGAGCTAAGGCACTTGGTCACTGCGAGGTATAGTCCGCCTATGACAGTGGAGGCACGCGTAGACAGACAGTTTAGAGATACTAGACGCGCCTGAAGACGTGATCAAGAAAAGGAAACGTCACGGGCATAGCAACAGGTTATATCCCATCTGATGCAACGGAAGCCATATGCTGCGTTTTTGTTTGGCAGCCCACGTGAGCATATCCCATACGTCTTTTGACAACATTCTCTAAATAGGCGATCCTGAGCATGCTCTACTACGTATCTGTATCGAATATATAATATTTCACAAGTGATGCATGCCTATGAAGCTATATCATGGAGTGTCTGGCGGACCCTATGCGTTGAAGTCGAGAGTGGAGTTCCATATCCTGGCACTGCAGAGCCTCTATCCCCCACAGCAAGTTGATACTAATGGAAATAAACGGCCAATCGCCTGGGTGAAGAAAACACATGACGTGGTTACTCGCGAGGGTGCACGAGGCGTAACATGTCAGGAAAACAATTCCAGCAAGAATGCACTCTGATAGTTGTTTATATAACTCAAGCTCTTGCTCTCATTGCATAGATATCTAAGGGAGCAATCTTTGGTGAGTCATTCTTCATTATTTCTTTTGTTGATGTCTTCATTCGTTTTGGTGGTTTACCCCCCAACTCGCCAACTCGCCCCATTATTGGCATTTACTAGTGTCCAAGCTTCCAAAACCCAACCCGGAGGACCTCTTATATCGTGTCTTCATCTTCAAGTTTTTTCTTGGAGTCGTATCGATCGTTCCGCTTCACCACAGCTAACTCGTATCATGTCTCGTTTCGTAGGCAGTGGCCGTATCGATGGTACACATCAAAACAGCTCGTCGAATCATTGAACTATCAGGACAAAAACGACAGAGCCACAATGCTACGCCATCTGGGTACGTCGGGATGCATTTTCGAAAGCGTAGGATTGTCCTGTGTTGATGGGCGTAAATAGGGGTCACGGTTGGCGTTGGCCGTCATCAGTGTCGTTGGTGATGCACCGACATTAACAAGAAGGAGAAAAAGCCTGAGATCGACTAAGAGGACGAAATAGTCCATCCAAGCCAATATACTGAGATGAACATGTTCGCTCTTCATGTCGTTGTCTTACTGAACATACTTGCTCACCACCCCCCTTCACTTTACATTTGCGCCCTTTGTTTGAACATCACCCAGCACTCACTCACATACAACTCATTGCTAATCTCTTCCTTTACCAGTCATTCTACCATTATCGATCGCGAACCATCTCAAGAAAGACACGATTCGTCAATAACTCAAAAAGATTAATAGGAATTGAATTTCCGCATGCCAAAAGACTTGGCTTTTCGACAACACATCGCTGTCCGCTTCATGGTATCTAAAAGCACCGTGCCGCTCCCATACTCAAGTCATGTCTCGAGTCCATCAAGGCCGTTATCCACCCGAAAGAGAGTGTCCCAATACGCCGCCGCGAATACGTTACCCCCTTTTTCCAATCCCTATGGCTTGCTTGCCGTTATCTTGACCCAGAGCCCTGCTCACAAGGCCAATCCTGTTCCGTCCTTTGTCCATCGATAAACCGCCAAAAGCTCCCTTCGCCGTTGTTGCTGCTCTCCCAGATCCTCAGGTACACGACCTCGAACCTGAGCAAGAGCGCTACGCATAACTTTGCTGAATTTTCGCTATCCCTTGTTAGTTTTTGCGCTGAGACCTCAATTCCTAGAGAAGGACTTACCTGATACTCTGTGCTTAGAGTGACAACACATGCTTCGTGAGCCCGCACGATCGTCTCGCATGCTTTTGCAACACTTGGCGATGCTTCCGACTGCAGCTTATCCGCAATAAGCAGCAATAAGAACGACCCTTGCAGAAGATATATACCGAAGAAGAACGGCATGAATTCGAGTCCAGGATCGAATTCAAGTATCTGGTTGATCGCTTCAGCCGCAGCAACAGCATGGCTCGTCGATGTGATGAATCCCTGTGATGAAATCCACAAATCCTCATCATCCAGCAAGTTGATGGGATCCCATTTTCCGGCCAATAGAATATGCAAGACGTGCATAACATGAGTTCCGTATGCAATAACGATTCGAGTCTGTATATTGCTCTCGGTAAGACGATTCGACCCGTTTGTGTGCACTGAGTGGACTGATGGCGTGTTAGCATCAGGAACCCCTGAGCGCTCGTTGCCCTCGTTCTGAGCATCGACTCTTTCCTCCACCGGTCGGGGCAGGTTCTTGTGCTCGAAAGCCTGCAAGCTCCGCTCATAAATTTCCAGATGTCGAGTAATTTCTGCAGTTTGAGCATTCCACTCGTGGCCCTGACGAAAGCCGGTTCCGAAACGCGGGTGATTCTTTGCGTGGTGCAAGTCGACAATTTCACCCAGGATCGTCATGAGAGGGAGGAAATATCCAAATATACTGTGGCCTCGGCACTCGTACTGAGGACCATGAGCTTGTGTCATATCGGCGCCATACCCTTCTGGACTGGTTCCCAGTAAATTGGGATCTGTGGTTGAATTCGAGTGGCCGCTGAAATCGCCGCTCTGCCATCGGGCATCGTCCATGGGTTGCAACAGACCCTGGCACTCTATATCGAGCAAAAATAGGGGCCGATTGTAACACAATGCCAAATGTCTGTCGACGATGTAAAGGAGCCACCATATTCGGCGTCGCTCCTCACGTTCTTCCTCGCCTACATATCCGCTACCACTAATACCGCCTTCTCCATCATCCGCAGTGTCAGTGTCCATGCTCTCTTGGGTTGCAGGCGAAGGTCCAGGGGGAAGCTCGCGACCCAGCTTCAGCTCACGAGCAAGACCCCAAGCAGCGGTCCACCATCTCATACTTGCGCCTTTATACTCGCTAGCAGAGACGACGACCGCCAAATGAATGTACGTTATCACGTCGTCAAGACTACCTGCGGCACCAAATGGCCCCGATTCGCCACTTGTGGCATCAAGGCTAATTGAGCCGGGCATAGCCACACCCAACCCACCAAGAGCAACACCATCAGCAACAGGGCTTGGCGCATCGCTCGGTGCTGTATGAATGAGTGGTCGAAGAAGATACACTGTAAGTTCTAGGAGCTTCTGACACGTCTTGGCTCGAGCTGATGGTGTGCTGGCGAGGAAGGGAGCATCACTAGTCTGTGCAGCAACCCAAAGCATGCTTGCCAAGAGGGCTGGTTGGCATGGTCTCGGCCTCGTCTGATCAAGGAAATATCGTTTTCGGAATACGAACCCCAAGACATAGGGTGACATCGGGTGCATCTGGGCCGATGAAGAGGACGCAAAGTATAAGTCGATTAAATCGCAAGCGAGAGGGATAGGGATAAGGTTGTTGAGATATGGCACCAATGGCTCAAGAACGGGATACCGCAACTTGGAGTTATTGAAGGCCGGGGCTGGGACCTGGGACTGGTATTGGCCTGGCGGTGAAGCCATTGAGATACCCCATCCAGGTGAAGTTCCCTTCCCCATTGAATACCCAAGAGGGCTATTTCCCATCCTGAATGTGGGGTTGTTGGCAAAGTTGGGAGGACTCTGGGCTTGCATCGAATATGGGAATTCGGCATAAGCAGGCATGTTGCCTCGTCCATTGGCCGCATATGACTGACCGTTGAGCACAGGACCTTCGAGACCCTGTGTCTCATAGCCGTGTGCCATACTTCCGAAACCATTGAGATCCAGACCGCCGTTATTTTCAATGTGTTCGCCATCCAGAGAGGAACGACCCATGTGTGGTTGCTCGCTTATGTTACTAAGGGGGTCGAGGCCTTCCAGACCTTGAGTATGTCGCATCACATCGTCGCCGGGGTCCCTGCTCGATTTGCTGCTTGTGCTCGGGTGTCGTTCATTAGATTGCTGCTCCAGTACCATATTCGACGAGTCGAGTCCCTTGTTGCCGGATTGGCCATTCTCAGATGTAGATTCATCAAGAGTCTGGCCGTTGGCAGCCGCCGCCGCCTGAGCAGCAGCTTGCTGGGCCAGTTCCTTTCTCGACGCCTTTCCTCTCTTCTTCCTTTCGCGGATGTACTCACACCCCAGGCCGAATTCTACAGAAGTCAGAAACACTCCATTAATGTTCGACCTCAGTACCTACCAATGCAGTGTGCACAGGGGTGTTGGCCGTCGCACTTCGTGCGTAGTTGATTGCACTGATCGCAAGCTCGACTTATTCTTCTCCTGACGGGTCCTGAACTGCTGGCATTACGTGGATGAATTCCATAAGGATGTTGTCGATTCTTGACTTGGGGACCTGACCTCTCCAGATGAGCGTTTGAGAGGGGGACGGCTTGCGAGAGTGGTTGAATCGGATATTGATGGCTTTGCCCGAGTGATTCCAGTCCTGTACCTGACATCGTGCCTTGCTGGACGTTTCCATCCGGTGAGATGTTAGAGGAGGTGATGTTCTGGTAAGGCGAAAAACGTTGAAGTGGATTAGACAACATGTTGCCGGTGCTCGCGCTCAACCGCAGACGCTGCGGAGGGTCTGGCGGC